ATTTAGCCAGTGAATAAGCAATAATACTCTGTTGCCTTGGCAATAATCAGAACAGACTTTCTTTTGTGTTGATATGGATGGGTTCTCCCTGAAACAGGCCACTTTTACTTTCTTAGTTGTGAAGGAAAGGCACACTCTAGCATGAAAAGAGCAGTTTTGATTCTCTTAATAGAGGCTAAGTACCCTTCTCAAGGATATATTTTTGCTATTAATTTGCTATGTTCAACTTTCCCAATTAATTGCAGTCAGTGGCAGTGAACTAAATGCATGACACCATATCAATCTCTGGTCCTAAAACACAAACTTCTGTAAGATAGTTTGAGTATTAAGTGAAATTTACCCCACAAAAAGTTTGCTCTTTTGTAGGCAGACTCATTGGATGAGTAGAGCAAGAGGTGTCATCAAATCAGGCTCATTTTGCCTTCTATATAATAGGCCAATTGCTGAGATGATTTTTGCAAGAGAAAGAGTTAATTCTTCTGGTGGAAAAGCATGTGGAGGGACACCTGGTCTCAAAGTCTCTTCCTCAAGAATAGAGGGGTTTTCATTTTGAGACAGGGTCTCTATGCAGTTCAGACTAGCCTTGAGCTCACTATGCAGCCCAGGCTGACTGCCAACTCATCGTAATCTTCCTGCCTCAGCTCCCAAATGCTGGGATTATTGGTATGTACCACTATGCCTGGCAAGAATAGAGTTAAAGATATCTATAGGATAAGGAAACAGAATGGTCTAATTCATAAGGGAAGGTGATTGGAGATCAAGAAAAATGAAGCAGCTGGTGGCCTGTGTATGGGTAACCAATCTTTATGGCTCTTTATGGGCCTCATATTTAGAAAGTGACAGCCTTAGTATGGTACATGAGTAGACTTTTCAGCCCTCTAGTGTCAAATGATTGCCCCTCAGACACTTTTGCAAGCCCAAGTGAAGGGTCCATGAGATAGACAACAGCAATGTACAAGTTGTTGAAAAACAAAGTATGTAGACAATACCAGCATAGCCACACAGATTAGAGGCATTCTCTATAGCAAAAATAGTGGGAACATATTGCTTAGTTATGTGACCTCTGAAATTGGTGCTGAAAGAAAATGAAACAAGAGGGTTTACTTGGGTTTTCTCTTAGTTTCAGAATTAGAGAAACCCAGTAAAGTTTCTTCAGAGAGAGTCTGATTGCATCAAAAGGGGATAGAAGTAACTTAAGTTTCTGAGAAAAACTGATAGAGCACTCAGTTAAACAACAGTTTAGTTACTAACAAATCATAATGCATAGTTAGGGAACATGGCTTCCTTCTCTTACCTCTTTTGGAATTTCTGCTTCAAAATATCAAAATTTATAAATGGGGGGGAAAGTGTATATAAGAAGCACAGAAGTTCTTTACTTTGTGGCTGCTGATCACACATCTGGGACCAGCTCATGTCTGATGCGTTAGCTGTGTGACCTTGAAAAGTCATTTAACCTCTGTAGTTAACCTCCTATTTTCTTCATTATTTGAACACATGCCTAGGGCTCATTTCTGGACAATTTGATTAGACTTTCTAGAGTTAGTCATTCATATTTTTAAAATGATTTCAAGAGGATTTTCTGTGCAGTCATTATTGAAAACTGTCTTCCATATCTCAAATTTTTGTATGTATTACCTGTGGGGCTTGTTTGAAAACTGATTCATGGGTCCCATCCTCAGAGTTTCTGATTCAGGAGGACTAGAGTTGGGTTTCTGGAATTTGCATTGCTGATAGATTTATGGGTGATGCTGAAGTGAGTGGTCCAGAACCACACTTTATTAGCCATTGACTTAGATGATATCTAATAGCCCTTTCAAGTATAAAGCTAAGAATCTATGGGCTTAGGACTGTGCATATAGCTCAGTGGCAAGCACAAGATCCTGCATTTGATACCTGGCACCAAAAAAGAAAGAATCTGTGATCTCATAACCTAGTACATGTTTATTTACTAGATATCCTGTTTGTAAGAGATGGAAAACATGAGTACAACTTCTCCTTTTTTTTGGTATTCTATACTGTTTACTTTGCTACTTTTCCAGTTTTCCCATCAAGAGATGGAATCTATTTTTGCATTTCCTTCACACTAAGCTAGTCTTGACATGGTATTGATGGACAGAATGTGGCAGAAATGACACTGTGAGAGTTCTGAACCCAGGTTACAAGACTGGTGGCTTTAGTTCTCACTTATCACTTGGTGAGCAGAGGCAGTCATATGAAGAAGCCCAAGCTTTCATTCTCGGGGATGAGTGGCTACATGAAGAGAAAGAACTTGCCAATACTCAGAACTAACTACCAGACATGTAAGTAAGACCATCTTAGATCGACTAGACCACAAAACACCAGCAGGGAAAACCAGAAGAATCCTTCAGCTGAGTAAGCACTGCTCACCTTTTTAACTCAAGAATTGTAAGCCAGCCAGGCATGTGGAACACACCTTAAATCCAATATTTTGGGAATCTGAGGCAGAAGAATCACAAGTGCAAGATCTGCCTGGACAACTTAGGGAGACCTTGTCTAAAATTTTAAAAATAGTAAAGAGGGCTGGGATTTAGCTCATTGTGAAGACCTTTGATTCAGTCTCTAGAAGGGCATGCATGGATACACACACACATACAAAAAAAATAATTTAAGCAAACACAATACTCATTGTAAGCCATAAACTATGGGATGGTTTATTACAGGACAGCAGATAATCAATCAACTGTGCCTTCATTTCTAAATGACTGTGCATGGAGAGGGGACAATGGTTATCTGTGCCATGTCTTCCTAAGCTAGGGAATATTAAGAGAGAGAATATATGTAACACAAGAGCTCCATACACTCAAATGTGCAATCTGTTACCCTTTTAAATCATCTCTATTGTCAAGTAGTTTTCAGTATGTTTCACTGAGAAAACTTTATTTATTTTTTTTTTTTTAATTTTATTTTGGTTTTTCTCCGGAACCGGGAACTGAACTCACGACCTTGCGCTTGCCAGGCAGGTGTTTTCGCCGCTGAGCTAAATCCCCAGGCCCTGAGAAAACTTTATTAACTAGCAACTGCTGTCCTTTGAGTCAGCACAGTGTTTTCCACGCATGTTGAAGTATGTCTTTCTGGAATTTTTCTCTCTCTGCCCAACATTTTTTAGGGGTTTGAATGGGTGAGAGTACTCAGAGACTGAACTCAGGCCTTGTGTATGCTGGGAAAGAACTCTTCCTCTGAGCTACATCCCCAGCCTCCTTTTTATTTTTAAATTTTATTTATTTTCTGTCTTTTTGAGGCTTCTGGCTGGCCTTGAACTCACTCTGTAGCTGAGGCTGGCCTCAAACTCATAGTGACCCTCCTGCCTCAGCCTCCTGAGTGTTGGGATTACAAGTGTGAGTCACCACACTCAGCTTCCTTTTTAGACTTTAAATTTAAATTTGCTTTCTTTCAAGACAGGGGCTTACTAATTTGCACAAGCTGGCTTTAAATTTGTGATCCTCCTCCCTCATCCCCCAAATAGCTGGGATTGCAGGTTTATACTACTATGCTTAGTCCCTTTGCTCGTCTTGTAATATCTTAAGCGTGATGATCTGTGGTATTCTTGGGTGATATGTCCTACTACATATAGCATTTTGTTAGAATTAATATTTAAATGATGATAGACATAGATACATGGCTTGAGAATTCCAGGCTTTCAGGCTACATTCATTTATTAAGCTATTATTCCTTTATGTTAGTGTCTTTTTAATTAAAAATTAATTATATATATATGGAATGCAGCATGCTCTGATATATGTATACAGTGTGGAATGACCTTGTCAATCTATTTAATGTGTGTTACTTCAGATACCTATTATTTTGTGTGGTGAGAACATTTAAAAAATCTACTCTTCTGACAATTTTCAAATTTACAATAAATTGTTATGAACTATAGTTACCATCACATACTTAATTATCCTTTTAATATGATATTTAGCAGAATGCAAAATTCCTGGCAGGTCTGGAAAATTGGGTTTAGAAATAGTTGCAGGTACATATATGTTGTCTATAAAAAAAAAACCGTCAGGCTGCTTTGTGTGGGTTCTGGGTATGGGTTTTAAGGTCTAAATCCAAAGAGACAAATTCATTTATGCTTATAGTCTTTCTACTATTCACAAATCTATAAACAAGTCTGCAGATAGATGTTAAACCAACTACAGGATCATTTCAGAGTTTATTTCAGAGGTTATAGCCATATTAATGTCCAGTCTAGAAGGAAAGTAATTTAAAAGTAAATTATTCAAAGTCTAATCATTTTTATATACTTTTATTTTCCTATTTACATCTTATAACTAGGGGAAATTATATTTATGGGTAAATCAAAATAGACTGTGAAGGAAAACCTTAAACACCAAGGAGACTATTTCTAATAAGTTTAAGACCCTTGTTGTCTAACCCTGGTGCTTATCTGAACAAAATGAAGCTCATAATGTCAGATGCTGCCAGTTTTGAAGGGGCTACTGCAGGCTGAGTTGGACATTTACCTGCAGACTAGTCTAGCACTGTATCCCTCATAGACTTCTAGGATACATCTTCCCAGTGCTCCTGGGTGCTCAGCAACCTCGTTTATTAGCAGCAGCTGCTAACTGGGTACAGATGGGGTCCTGGGGCAGGCTCAGTCACATTCCAATAGGCTAAGGAGGGGCTGACTATAGGGGAGAGCATCAGCCACAAGGGAGGAGCTAAAACAGGCAGGTTAAGAACAGAATGGAATGACTAGGCAATTACACATCATCCTCAGCAGAAGAAATGGTGAGGACTAATATTACTGTCTTAGTTGTACAAATCACACTGCTAACTCTATTGTGAGTTAAAATTTTTAAATTTATTGTAGCATCGCTATCAAAAATATACATAAAGCGAGGTGTGGCAGTACACTTGTAACTCTAGCACGATGAGACGGTGAGGCAGGAGTACAAGTTCAAACCCAAACTGGGCAACTTAGCAACTTTCGAGACCCTGTTTTAAAAAAAAGAATGATAAACTAAAGCTAGGGATGTAGCTCAGTGCAAAGATCCTGAGTTTAATACCCAGTGTTGTAAAAATCAAAAACAAAAACAAAATACACACAAATTAGCTAAAGCCAGTAATAAGATGTAAAGAACATTCTAAGGTTACACAAAAGTTAACCCTTCAGGCCCAGAAGCCTGAATGGAAATGGGACAAAGCAAGTGACTGAAGATTTGTCAGTAGACCCCTGCCATGTGGAATCCTTGGCCAGAAGGGTAGATGGGGGTTACGTGGCAACAGAGTACAGACTGAGAACAAATCAGCTTTATGCAACCCGAGTTACTAGCGACTGGTAATAGACCTGCTGTTCAGATAACTGCGTGGCTGGGATGGACAGAACATGAGAAAACAACTCTTTTAAAATGTACATGAAAGTCATGAGCAAGAGCACTGTGGCGAGCAACCTCAAGTCGGGGGCCTCCTGTTTCCCCAGCCCTCTCCCCATCCCAACCACCACGCTGGGCCTTCAGATGCTTTGCTTCCCTTCTTCCTCTTTGTCCCAGGCCAGGAATGTGGAAGCTCTCTGCGAGTGGAGCTACCTGCATTCTGGAACATATCCTTACGGTTGTCTTCAGGCTCAGAGGCTGGCAGGAACACACTGTCTATACCCCAAGGGGCATCCTTTAGCAGATGGCCCAGTTCCTACTCATAGCATCCTACAGCTTGTGGCAGATCTCCATTGGCCTGCAATTTAACCCTTGTAGATACAAGGATTCAGTGCGTTTTGTGGAGGCAGATTTTCAGTTGTGTTATGCTTCAACTCTTCCTTCTCAGACGATTTTTTGCTTACAGGGAAACTCTCTAAATAATTTTCAATTGTAGTGTCTTCTGACTTCCTGTACTATTCTTGAGTGTTGCTATGGTCAATATGAAGTCATTGGCTGTTAGCCCCGGGAAGCTCCACACTGAACGCTCTCTGATAACATGTTTCTGCTTCCTCAAACATAGTGAGATCACAGGGTGCATTCAGAAAATTTGGCTCCTTCTCTATAACTTCATTTTTATAGTTAATAAGTAAGGCCCTTAACTTTTCAATCTTCTCTCTATCTCCTTTGGTTTCAGATTCACCTGTATTCTGCATTTGTTTGATTTTTTCCTTGTAGCAGTACATAATATGGTAATAGAGGTAGCTATTGTTTGGGGTGGAGTCCAAGGCCCTTAGAAAGAGTTCAATAGCTTTGTCTAGGTTGCCGTTTTTTTTGTAAAATTTGGCTGCACTTTGAAGGACATCTGTTTGCTGAGGAGACTTCTCCAGGGCCTCTTCAATCAGTCGCTCCCCTTCAGGTCCTTCATTGATTTTCTGCAGTTTCAGGGCCAAGAGAACTTTGACATACTGGTTCTCAGGACTCAGCTCAATAGCCTGCTTCAGAGCACTGACAGAGAACTGCTTCCGTGGATTATGATCCAGGTGGTACATTGCAATTGCTAGTCCAGAGGAGAATTCTGGGTTGTCAGGTTTCTCTTCCAGAGCCTTCTCAAAACACATCTTAGCCCTTTCAGTTCTTCCACACTTCAACAGTGTCCATCCCTCCTCAGAGTCAAGCTCAGGACATTCAATACTGTAAGGATTTGAAAACTTCACACAGACCTGTTTCACCTTGTCAACGTAAGCCTGAGCATCTTTAAGCTGGCCCAGGTGATAGTAGATCCATGCATAGTTTCCCCAGGTGACCAGACTGCAGATTTCTGCTTGCTCAGCATGTTCTTGCTGGATTAACTCTTCAGCTTGCTGTAAGCATTGCAGGGCTGCCTCGTTTTGACCTTGTAGATGCTTCAGGTAGGCCAACAAGTTGTACATTGTGGCTTTGAATTCGGTGCTTAGCAACTGAATCTGGTTACACACTCTGTCTTCTAGATGAATTAGGATATCCTTTTCCTTGAATAAATTCCAGGTGAAGTGGCATTTTAGCTGTGGAAGGATTCTCTCCAATGAGTTCTTAGTGACCGTACTGCAGAGAAAATATACAGAGTCACTGTGATGTGCACCTGCCAAGCATTGTACCCTTTAACAGTTAAATTTACATATCAACTTAACTGAGCTATAGGACAGTTAGATATCGGGTTGTAAACTAGCAATGTTCCTGGGGGTCAGACAGCCCTGTGAGGCACAAGGCTCTCGGAAGTCCCAGCTCTGACATACTGTACCTGTTGAATGAGTAATCTTTGCTTTATGTCAACGTCCTTCCCATGCCTCCTACATTTCACCCACTCTGTGCTTCGTCTCCTCACATTACACACTGCTTCTACAAGCCAGGAATTCTCAGACTTTGGTGTACAGATGAAGTACCTGTGGTCCTTTTCAAATACCTCACTCCCAATTCAGATCTACTGAATCAGGATTTCAGAATGCTCAGGAATTTGCATTTTAATGGAGCACTCAGGATACTGGGATGCAGGTCATCTGAAAAACACAGTTTGAAAGACTGTGACAGATTCTCCCTGTTCCTAGTTCACAGGAAAATCTAGCATGTCAATAAGAAGATGGCTCAGGCAAACATACTACCAAATTCTGTAGAAGCAAAACTTCAAAGTCAATATAACTTCATCATAACATGGAGTTTGGCAGGGCTAAACTAGCCATCAACATATTTGCTGAGAGGTGAGCATGTAATTAACATAATGCACCAAATTCTATAAACTTCTGATTTAGTCTTTCTCTAAGAAATTAAAGAAGGACTTGCACCTCCTTGAGTTTCCTCCAGGTTCCAGCCTTCATTGAGAAGATCATGCCTGAAAACATTAGAACATGCTTCCCTGGAGGCACTCTCACTATAATGCAGTCTCTTCCCTGCTCTTAGCTTCCACGTGCCTCAGAGTCCTTATGCTGCCTGATGGGAAAGCAGAAAGTGCCACACAAATAGAAACATGAGTGGGTAAAGCAGCTTCATGATTGACTTAGACAAATCCCTATTTAATCTCTAAGCAAGGAATGAAAGACAGTAAGTAACTGAGCAAATGTAACAGAGATTTGGAGCAAATGTAACAGAGATTTGGAGCATGCCTTTCTTAAAAGCACTGACTCTTCACTTGGACCTACAGATCTTACTAAGGTCTGCACGTAGACATGTTAATCATTAAGGACTCTCTGTCTAAATAGTGATACTGAAGGATTGATTTGTCCTAAGTTTACCTCTCTCATCCTCCACAAAGTCTGAAGATAGCAAAATAAGAGCAACTAAACTATTCTCAAGATTCCAGAAACAGTGAGTCTTGAAGGAAGATCACCATGAGACTGCCTTCCTGAACAGGAGCAATCATCTCACATTGGAAACTGGATCACCCCCCAAAGCAATGATGGCTTCCCCTGGAGAACCTCACGGAACCAGGGCTGAGGTAATGTTCAACCAGACCACAGCGTGGCCAAGACTGTCTCACTATGGACACTTCTTACCCTGTGCTTTTATTTCTTGCTCTATACAAAACCAAAACTCTCCTTAGCACCAGCAAGACACACTGTATTTTAGTGTACTGGTCTTCCTGCTTCCCCTTGTGGTCACACTGAGTAAAGGCACCTTTCTTGTTTCATCAGCCCTCTTGTTTCTAATTGGACTCTCAAGGCTGCTGGTGGCAAAACCTGGTCTGTTGGGACCTCATGAGTCAGGCTACGGGCCTAGGACTCTGATAACAGAAATTGTCAAAGCAAGTTTCTCAGTGAGACCCTGGAAGACTCTCAGAGCTGGCAGTCCTGTGGTTATTTGCCCCTTTGGTGTTGCTTGGCACTGCTGAGGAAGAGAAAAGCAACGTGCTTCTGCCCCTACAGAGCACCTTGATATGGGTTTCAGGTCTGCACATTCCAGAGGGTCCCCTCAGGCCTCCTGGACTAAGTGGCTCTTCACACACCGGAGCACAAGACATTGCAAAGCATCTTGTGAAGGCTGCCTACTAAGGCACGGGGAGGAGTCTGGGTTTCTGGTCAACCTACTCATGTAGACAGTTTCCATCTCTTTTGAACAGGAGCCCATTATACAAAATGGTAACTTGAGATATTTGACAGTGAATTCCTTTCACTCATCCCATCCTCAAATATGACTTTGCAGAGCATTTGAAAGTTACTGGGGCTAAAGTGGGACAGCTAATCTTCCATACCTCCCTCTGTGCACTGCAATAAGATCCTTAGGCAACTGACTGACCCCCTCAGTCATTTCCTATAGGTCTTGTGGGACAAGTGCATTTTTCTCTTAGTTGTCCCAGAGACTGTTCCAATGGCAGAATTCTTAGAAGAACTCTATATGCTTTTTTTAGAAAAACAAGTTTTCTGAGATTATAGTTTACATACCTTAAAATGCATCCACTTATGTTACAGTTTGATGAGTTCTAACAAATGTTTATACCCATGTAAACGTATAGGCTATTCCTATCATTCTGAGAGATTACCTTGCATGTCTTGCTACTCTACCCCCACCATCTTTGGGCAAACACTGGTCTGCTTTCTATCACTTAAAACTAGGCCAGTGTTATATCAGAGATTAAGTAATTATATTTTTGAGAAGAAATTTTGTTCTGCTGCTTACAAGCATTCAGCACAGTGAAATAAAACTTTAAACGTTGATTTTTTTTCATATAAGATAAAAATTAAAATGCCCTTCTGTTTAAATTGTTTTTTCCACTTTCAACTTGAAGAGAGCAAGTATTTCAGATCTACATGAGTTGGGTGGGCCATATGGATTCCATCATCCATGATTTCTACTAAAAATAAATGTTTCTAAAACTCACAAGAAAAAGAGACTCTGGTTTAGTCCTTACAAATAACACAATTATCTAGCTTTGAATTACAAATTTGTGCCTGGGTGGCACTAACCCTTCCTTTCATTCTACCTAACAATTCCATCCAGTGAGCAGTTCTGGGAGCTGAAGGATCCTGAGCATGCACCCCAGGAAAAAACACAGAATGAAATTAAAATCAACAAACAACTGACAAAGGTCCCAAGGGATACAGGCGTGTTGAATCTGTAATTCACAAACCTCCCTGAGTATAGTAAGAAGCTCAGCTTACAATTTGCATTCCAGAAAAAGAGTGTCAAGTATTTATGTTTCACTAACCTCATGACTGTAATCTGCCTCTCAGTTGTTCCAAAAAGCTGCAGGCCAGACTGATTTGCTCTTCAGAAATCTTCCTGGTCTGCCTGTAGTAAATGCTGAAGAGAATATATAAGGAGGAAGTAGGGGGTGGAGGGAGTGTACCAGCTGATGCTTTTGCTAGGTTTCTAAGTATTTGGCTCTTTGAAAGGAAGAGGAATCTGGAAAGTGAAACTGATTTAAAATCAGCAGGAAAAGGAAAAAGAAATCTAACATTTAAAACTACTATGACTCAGCAAAACACACTGTTCAAAACTGTGACTCTGAGATTGGAACCTGAGATGAGAAAATACACAAAGGCATCAGACTTTGGATTTAGGAGGCACCAGGAAACTTTTTTTTTGGTGGGGGGGACTACATTTTTTAATAAGGTCTCTAGGAGATTCTGATATAGGCACTTCTGGGACCACATGAGGGAAAGACTGTTCCAAAGTATTTTACTAAAAGAAATCATAGTTTTATCATGTAAATTTACTGCTGTGAGACAATGTGTGTGTAGAGTCCAGATTTAATTCTCCCTATTAGTGTTAGTAGCTCTGCAATTTTCCAGGCATCAAATCCCTGAATATAAAAGTCCATTTTATTGCACATGAAGGATAGAAAGCCAAGTATGAGAAAGATCTGCGAGTAGTTCAGCTCTCTGAGGTCTAAGGCAATCATTTCATTTACCCAGCTCTAAATGGGGAATAAGGATCAATATATTGTTGTTTAATGGGTGGATGAATAATGACTTTTTATATTTTTGTTTCTAGTATAGTTAGAAACGAAGGAGTGAGTCACTCCTAGTTTAACTGAACAATACCCAATAGTCACTCCTGCTTTCATTACCCTAAGACAGGTAGAAAATAAATGACATAAGCCTAGGAGATCACTGCTGCCCCATGGGAGAGTAGAGGCACTGAAAGAGATTCAGTGGGAGGTACCAAAAACAAGAGGCTTCTGACCTTTACACTCTGAAGGCCTGAGTTAACAGCCCTGGCACCTCTCACTGTCTGTGTTACACTTTCCTTGGCAAAGACTGGCCTCGAGCGCAACTTTTTGTGATCTCCAATGCTTACTACTTACTATTGGGTGTATGCTTGGCAGTTCTTTCCTAGTCATACGCAAGAACTTGGGCTATTATTTACTCATCCAACTGTAATACTTTGAGCTTTGAAGAAGTGATGTTACCCTAAGAGATTTAAAAATATGTGTAATATTTCCCAGCCATCTGGTAAAAATCCATAAATAAAGGAATCCTTAGATGGGAATAAGACTACTTTTGTCCTGAGGTTACACAAAGCAAAGATGCTTTGGTAGCAGAACTGGCCCAATACCAGGTTTTTCTAATGACAGAGTTTCACAAGATATTCAGTTTCAGAGATTGTTTTTCTGTTCCATGAAAATAGCCTGAACTTGGATAGGCCTGTAATTGTGCTTGTTTTACTTCACAATTTATTATCTTGTTAATAATAAAATAGTGAACCTTTATAAAAGATAGGAATTCTACCCTTATGTCACTGGCTAGCACAGTTCCTTGTGATCATGGAAATTAAAACTAAAGCAAGAGTATGAAGTTACAGGCAAAAAGCTTTAATTAAAAGCTAAGAGGAAATGAAGGGGGAGTTACCCAAGCAAAAGACAATAAGAGAACACAGAAAAGGTCTTCAGTTTGAGAAAGTGAAAGGTGTAAATGTCAACAGAGCTGAATCAGAGTGTCTGCAAGCAAAGGACCTACTAGGGCCAGTTTTGTGGAGTGCTCACGGGCTGGGCTCCAGTCAGTTATGATCTCAGTCTAGTTTCACAGCCCCAGAGGAGTCCTCATGATCTGAGGGACAATTTAGTCATGTGAGGTGATGTTAGGTTTATTGCAGTGAAGATTTCTGGGTGCAGCTCTTATTCTGGTGTCCTCAGACCTGTGGGGTAATATGATAAGCTAGGTATATTTAAGCTAGTAAGCTTTGCTTTGCCAACATTTAAGTAGATCTTCCCTAAAGGACTAACATGCCTACATGTAGAACTGACCCAGAGTTTTATAAAATGAAGGCCACGCTTTGTTCTCTGTCTATTGGGCATCTATAGGCATAAGTGAAGAGTCATGATTTTTAGCAAAACCATCTTTAAGTCTTTGTCTATCTCAGAAGAAAACACAAATTGTGCTTTTAATGAGTAATGGGTTAATGGCCCAGATGTTTGTTTGTCTCCTGTCTTTATAGCAGACTCTAACCAGGTCAGTTAGACTGAAGTAAGAAGTGCCTTTGCATTTTGCCTGTGGTTTCAAAGGTTCTACTTACTACAGGCACAAAAAGTATACATTTTTAAAGAGTACATGTATCTCTGTTACTTAGAATTCAGTGCTTGGCACAGTGGGATATCAAATCTTAAATATTCAGTCCAAGGAGAACTTATCTCTATCTTTTGCCTTCTTTTTTCAGATCAAAAGAAAATTTTATTTGAAACATTTGTGCATTGGGAGGGTGCTGATGTTAGGGAGAGGCTCTGCTTTGGAGGGTAGCAAGGGTCTGGGTGTTACAAGTGAAGATCAGAGAAGAGACAAACTAAACTGGTCAATGTCTCTCTCTTCCCAGAATACAGTAGATTGTAATATAATGGAGAATTATTTTCTAGTACAGTAACACCAACTCCCCATTTTCTTTCTTCTTTTTTTATTCTAATTCCTTGCTGAAGAGATACTCATAAATTCACCCCTGTATTTGTTACAACTATATATGGTGGCTGAATAACATTATTCATTGTTTAGACATTCATACTGCTTTTCCCCCTTTGTAGAAAAATTTATTACATTTCATTCTAGTGTAATAAAAATCTTTGTTCTCACAGGGAGGCATAAAAAAGAAAGTGTACACTTCATGAAAATTGCTAATTAATAGAAACGCTTAAAAACACATGTATCCCTAAGACTGCTTTTTTCAGAAGATTTCTGTAGGTTTGGCATTTTCTTGGTTCTTAGCTGTAGTTGTTCCTTATATCACATTGTATAACCCACTTTTATCTACATTGAAGATAATATAAGGTGGACAGTATTCAGAGATCTAACTTAGGCTCTTTCTTGTTTTTTTTTTTTTTTTTCTTCTTCCGGTACTGAGAATCAAACTCACGACCTTGTGCTTGCCAGGCAGGCTCTGTGCTGCTAAGCTAAATCCCCAGCCCCAAAATTTACTTTTTTTTTTTTTTTTTTGTACTGGGAACCAAACTTATGACCTCAGGCTTGCCAGGAAAGCGTTTATGCCACTGAGCTACATTCCTAGCTCTTAGGC